AGCCCATTGAGTCCCCTGGGACTACTTGTAAAAAAAAAAAAAAAAAGTGTTGGACTGGGCTCTAAAATATGATCTTTCATATTAGATATATATATTTGCAAGAATAGTTGATTGAATTATCTGGCTTCTCTGCATGAAATGCTGTTATACCTATTGAATTATATATTTTGCTCATTGTTCTAGTGTAAAGCACTAGAATCATAAATAAAGTACTTAACTTGAGTACCAAAGGTTGTGTTTGTTTCAGGTTTTTTCTCTTATTTGGAAGAGAAACATGTTTATTTATACCACATGGCAGGGGTCTAAAAGAGAGAGCTCACAGGCTGGACCTGGCCCACAGACCTGTTTTATCCAGCCTGCTGCTGGGCTACTGGCAAGTCACCACAAACAGGGGGCAGGCTAGCAGGAGGCATTGTCTGCTGCAGAATGCAAGGCCCTTGGGTAGATGTGGCATCAGTGGCAGGAAGGCAAAGGCAGGCTGTGATGCCCTGCAACTTCTTGGCCCACCCCTACCATTGCCATGGCACCCCTGCTGCCTCTGCCTTGTGCTGGATCCAGCCTGGGAAGAAGTCCCACTATCTAGATCTGGCCCCATCCTGAAAAATGGTGGTAGGAGCACTTTTAACTAAAGCTTGTTTGATAAGCTTTAGTTTGTGCCCGTTGCCATTTTTTCAGTGTGGGGACACTGATTGATATACATGATGCTTCAGGCACTTTAATTAGCATGGGTCTCAGAGCTCCCCACCTCCTGAAGCATATCTTACATATATCTAGTAAGATTTATGGATTTCACTTGAGCCTCAAGCTGGTCATCTGCACAGGGATCAATTTTGCCTCAAGTGAAGAGAAGTCCTGATAAGCAAATAATGTTAATTTTGTTGTTCGGGAGCAGAATGCACACTTATACATATCTAATTCCATCATAGGGCAAATAGGGCAGATTAACTTCAACTTAGTTGTATTGTTCTCTCAATATATGATTTAAAATATGTTAGGAGTCTATCATTAGAAGGAAGGTTGTATCTATTATTTCATGCATGTGCATTAGATAGCATCAGTACTATCTATATCAGTGGTTCCCAAACTGTGGGTCATGACGCTAAATGGGGTTGCAGCATCAGCAGTTGGGGTCATGAGATTTCTATGCTCAGAGCAGGACACAGGGCTGTAATGGGGCAGGACCAGCTCCATGCAGGAGCCACCTCCGTTGCTCAGTGGGTGAGACCCAGTCCAGGAGGGAGTGCCACCCAGTCATGGCTGCCAAGGTGAGGTGCAGCAACAGTGCAGAGTTGTGCCCCTACTGCTGCCAGGCAGGCAGGGGGCACCTCAACTTGGCGACTTTGGCTGCGCAGTGCTCTCTCCATTGCCAGGTCCTGCCTGCTGGGCCATGTAGCCCTCAAGGGAAGGCAGCAGGGCAGGGAGCCCCAGGCCCACAGCAGGCATCCTGCATCTTCCCCCCGCTTCCCATGGGCTCTCCTCCAGCTGTGCCAGCCACGGAGGAGGGGACAGGGGGAGGGGGTGGGAGCTGGACTCCACACTGTGCTCTAGCTGCAGCTGGGGCTTAGGTGCTGCTGGGATGGGGAAGGGGGCTGCGGGCCCTGGGGGGCTGCAGGTTGGAAGAGGCATTAGCTGCAGCCAGGGGGCTACAGGCTGGGAATGAGGCACTGGCAGGGCCAGCAGGTTGTGGGTTAGGAGTGAGGGGCCCCAGCAAGGCCAGGGGGCGGTGGGAGGCTGAAGGTTTGGAGTGAGGAGCCATGAGGAGGAAATGGGGTCATAAATGGGGGTAACACTGAGGAAAAATTGGGAATCACTGATCTACATCATAACAGCTCTCTATATATCATATCATATAAGAAGATATCCATAAATATTTAGCAAATGTGTGTGTGTAAATATTCAGAATTCTATTTTAAATATGCAGGTGAAGTTTTTCCATTGACTTACTAAAGACTCTAAGAAATGGATGCACACTGAAAGTTCAGAATTATAGTGAACTATCTGCAGGTTGTTATCGTGCCCCAAGAGGATCTTTTGGAATAATACTAAAGGATGTACTCTAGAACCGGCACGCACTAAAGGATGTACTCTAGAATGTACTTTCTAGCTGATTATGTTCCACTAGACACAGACTGATTTTCCAGTTTTTCTACATAATTTGGACAATGCTACAAGATGAGGATTTTATTCAGACTGTGGGATGTTTGTACTATTTTTTTCATTGCTAAGGTCATGGTTAAGTGTGTGCATATGCGTGTCTGTGCGCATATGCGCTCTCTAGGTGTCCGAAATTTGCTCCATCTTCACTCCCACCTCATCCACCTACTATTGTTACCAAAGGACTGGACAACAATAGGTAATCTGCTGCCCTTGCTTGTCACGGCTACAACACGCTTCTAATAAGAGCACTGATTTGTACTTACCTAAAAATTTCTTGTCTTCAAGTAATAAGAACCACCAGTCTGTACAGCTTCCTGGCAGCTGGATCCAGTGGAGTCAGGCCTGTCAGTCACTGGCAGCAGAAGAGTGCCAGCAAAGGTCCCTCCAGTTAGGAGATCCCTCCCACAGTCAGGACACTGGTAATTAAAATAAAGGCACCTACACACGTGTCTGACACCTGCTCCAACGCATTCTAATTAGAA